GATTTATTGAATTTTTTTTTTTTTTTTTTTTTAAATTTACGTGATGCGGAAAATAAAATAAAAATAATTTTTTTTTTTTTTGTCGTCAATAATTAAATTATTATTATTATTAATAATATAATTGTCAATTTATTAAAATTTTACAAACAAACGACGAAGACGAAATAAATAAATAAATAAATAAATAAAGGTAACATAAATATATATATATCTAATAATGAATGAATGAATGATTAATAATCTTCGGATTCTGCTTTTCTTAATTTAGTATAATCTTCGAATATAATATTATCTTCATCTTCTCCAGATTGATAAGTGTTATCAAAATTCGATCTATCAATGCTTTTAGTTTTGTTTAATGTTTTCATTTTTTTCTCTTCCGCCGAACCTGGAGCCGGATGCATGAGTTTAAATGGCACATCGGTTACCAATTCGCCACCAAGAGTCCCACAATTTAATTTAACACGAACAGAATAGCAAATGATTATACCGAGTGATTCTTTTGGATTTTTACCTTCTTCGACAAGAGTTGATGAAGCCAAATTAACATCGTCATCCTAAAAATTTCAATTTCAATTTATTGTTAATTTTCTACTTTGTTTAAATTTTTACACTCGCATTTTTAAGGTTTTCAACCTTTATGTAACCGTCTAAAGCGACACCAAATTTATCTTTATTACAAGAAGCAAGTGGAACCAAAAAAAATTTTTTTGAAAATGAATTCCCTGGAGTTACTGGACATCCCTCTCTCGTTTCTAAACTTGCCACATATTTAGAATATTGAGTATTTATCATGGTCACTTCGCAATGTTGGACAGCATAAAACTAAAAAAAAAAAAAAAAAAAAAAGCGAAATTTTTGGCATAAGGTATAACCTTGCTCCAATCACGACACAAACGATTACGATTATTATTATTATTACCTTTATATTTTTAACGGTTTTTTTACTGCTATTACTTATTAAGATGTTTATACCCAAACCTTCACCGTGATAGTAAAGTTCTTTATCTAGAGTAACTTCGAGACTTACTTTTCCATTTCCAAA